TGGCCAGAAACATCCGTCCCCACAGACCCAACTCCCTCTAACCAAGGAATCAGCTCAGCAGGAGAACAGGAGGGGGAATGGGGTGTTTTGGGTGGGTCTTGTGCATGGGGGTAAAGGTACTTGGGGTTTGTTTGTTTGATGTTTGTGTCCATGTGAGCTGCAGGGCTGGGGTTTGGCCCCTCACCCTGCCAGGTGACAAAGATCTGTTCTGTGTAGCTGGGTCCCTTACGCTTAGGATCAGCTCTGGTGTTTGACCCTCCATTCCGGTCTGACAGGCAGTGATAGAAAGAGAATCTAGTTCACTGCCCAGGCAGATGCCACCATTCTCTCTGGACTCATTGGAATTCAAATTCATTTCCATTTTACCCCCAAACCAGACAAATCCAACTTTCTAATCCAAGTGTTAAAACTTTGTGTAAATGTTGTTTCCCTTGGGTTCTAAGTAACTACGACAGAGTCTTGACTTGGCTTTACTTCTGGGTTGGGGAGGGGGTGTGTAACATTTTCCCACAGGGTTTGCAGTATAAAACGGGGGCAGTTTTGTGGCTACATTTGGCAACAAGGAGGCACAGGAAATACTGGGTGTAGCCAGACAGAAACGCCCCCCTCCTTTCCCCTCCTCCCTTCGAAATCCTTGGGAGAGAGAATTCTTGCAAGCAAAACTCTGCCTTGGGAGACTCCAGGGCCTCCAGAGGTGCTGGAATAACAATGGCCCTGGATGCTAGACAGGAACCAGATAACAGCAGCAATTGGGCCTGCAGATGGTTGGTACCAGTACTGATACACCTACACACTGTCCCAGAAGAGGAATCTGCCTCCCCATTTGAAAAGAATGTCTGGCCCTAATGATTTAGTTACCTCCACCTCACAGGTAGAAATTAAGCTTTGGACCCCCTGTGGGAATGGGCATCACAAAGATGTTCCAACTTAATTGGCATTTTAATGACAAGAGAAGCGTCTACGTGACCACAGGGACATAAAGTGGGGCCCTGTGCCCCACTCTAATTGGAGATCCAACCATATACCTGCTGATCAGGTGGTCCTGGACTCCTGAGATTTTAGGGACGCCTTCGTCTCATACCGACTGCTTCCCATTGGGATTGAGAGAAACACTGGCTTTGCTGGAGTAAGGATCTCAGAGGTAAGAATATACTTGCTAGGTGTCTGTTTTGCGCGCATTCAATAAGAGCTCAGAGAACCAAAAGGGTTCCATGGTACTTTTGAGTGACTTTTATTGTATTTTTTTCTGTCTTGTCTTTGTAGTGGCTGTGTTATCTGTAACACAGCAGTAACATTTAACAGCTAAGCTTGCCTTGTGACAATAAAGTAGTAACTGTTTAAGCTTTAACCTGACTCCTCCTGTTGCTGTATCAGAATCCAACACAACCAAAAGAACCATAGCCAGTTTGGCTATCTTGCTGCGGTCAGGGGCAAACACAATAAGAGCTGAGCATTGAGTCATGCCACCTCCACAGGGAAGACTCTTGGGGCACCCGTCAGCCTCCCTGGCTGCCCGCCATGAAGGGACTTTGTCCTAGCAGTTAAAGACTTGGGTGTGATAGGGCTCACAGACCACTCATTATCCCAGCCACCGGCTAACAGAATTGGCATAGTCAGCAGGATTGTGTTATCGGTTTAAATACAGCAACATGGAGCTAGTCATGGTAAATACTGATTTCAGTAAAGTAGAAAAGAATTTTGCCCAGGAAGGGTGGGGCGACCCAAAATGGGATAGAGAAATGTTAGAAAAGGATTGGGGAAATCCTGAGGAGTTGTGGTCGCAGTTTTGTAAGAGGAGAACTGCCTGCAAGTTAAAGAAGGGGAAAGGAAAAGGAGCCTGCATTTGGTTATTAAAAGGTACACTGCAGGCAGCATATAAGGGCCACTCGGACCTAGAGACAGAACTAGAGAGGGTCCAGAGAGAGAGAGAGATGAGCTACAGCAGCGGTGCCAGAACTTAGACACCCGGGTACAGCTGCTGAATAATGATGTGCACCAATTAGAACAGGGCCTCGTTCCGCTGGTAGAAAAGGAGGGAACAGAATGGAGAGCAAAGCTAGAAAGCAAACCACGGAGCATTAACAGAGCCAAAGTGGAGGCGGCTCTCTGGTTAGACCCGGAGGAGTGGGATGGAGATATATGGGACTCCTCCAAGGATGAGTGGTTCACTCACTCCTCCCATGAGATGGGAAAGTCTGCAGTTCAGATGAGACCTATTGTCACCTTCCAGGAAGATGTGTTCTATGGGGCAGACAGAACCGGAGAGGGGGCTAGTAAGGGTAAAGATAGTGATGATTCATCGACCAGTGGGGGTAGTGGTAATAGTAGACAGGAACGACCCACCCGTAGGACTACTCGGAGCTATGAGCCTGCAGAGCTAAAGAAGCTGCAGGATGAGTTTATAAAGAAGCCCGGGGAAGGAATAGTGGAATGGCTAGCTAGGATATGGGACACAGGGGCTGGTCACACACAGCTGTCCTCCCAAGAGTGCGGGAGAGTGAATCTGGGCGCAGGGGTATTCCTTAGCTCCAGATCCAGGGAAGGTCCAAAATCGATCTGGACTTTTGCCTGTAGATGGGGTCGGGGAATCCACCACGCCGATAGAGGCGAACCCCTTAGCACCTCGTGGACTAATGGGGATGAGCTTAGGAAGGCCCTGCAAACAGTATCGATAGTGGCTATGCTTCACCGAGACAGTCCCGAGGACAAAGAGGAGGAAGGGAGCCCATGGGAGCAGAGAGTCAGAGTAGCAGATGTGAGACCTATACTGAAGGGCACTCCCGGGTCCTATAAAGCGATAGCATTAGCCATGAGAAACTTTGCCCAAGACCAGGGACCTTCCTACCAGATATTATTTCAGTCTATGCTGTGGGACCTCCGAGAGCTTGGGGAAGATGAGATGCCCCAGACCAAAGTTAGGGTGCGGCACTTGAGAGGGCACCCTGGGGGCATGATTGGAGGCTTTAAGCCTAGACATGAGGCAACCCCTGAGGAAAGGGAACAGAGGATTAAGCTGTGGAAACAGCGTCTGGATTTAGGATATCCCAGAGACCTGTTACACAGCTTGCCAACCAGGAAGCTACAGCTCCTGGCCTCCTCAAAGGGCATCGAGCGGGGGAAGACTGCTGTAACTCCTAGAGCTCCCCCAGGCTCAGACACCTTCTACACGCCACTACGGCAGCAATTACGCGAGCTGCCGCCCTCAGCTGAAATCGACCAGGGAAACTAAGTGGCAGGGGTCAAACCTCTCTCTGCATTAATGAGATCAAATCAGCAGAGGAGGAAAACTCCAGCAATGACCCCCGGATCTCAGTAACCGTTAACGATAAAATTGCTGTGTCCTTCTTAGTGGACACCGGAGCTCAGCTAACAATGATCGAACAAGAGAGCTTTCCTGGCCCTCCACCTTCTGGCGGGAAGCAGGTCCTGGTCACAAGGGTGAATGGCACTACTGTGTCTTATCCCTTAGTCAAAGTGAAGCTAGATATCCCCCTGAACTCCTACCGACAGCCCCGAAAGCACGAAATAATACTCGGGAATGCCAACATACTTGGCATGGACATCCTGAGAGGCAAGGGGGGAATTATCAATGGGGGAAGGTGGGCATTTGGAGCTGGCTGTAAAACTAGTGCAACAGTCCTGGATGAGGGAAGCGCTCCCCTCTATAACATTCACCTGCTAGCCCAAGCTCCTGCTCTCTTACCATCAGCTATAACCAGTGTAAAACAATACAATGTTCCAGCTGAAGCTATAACTCCTGTCACAGAGCTGGAGAAACGGGGAATATTAATTCGGACACACTCCTGGTCAATTCACCAGTATGACCAGTTAAGAAACCTAGTGGTAAATGGAGACTCACAATAGATTACAGGAATTTAAATAGGAACACTGGCCCTTTAACAGCAGCAGTCCCCAACATAGTAGAAATAGTGAACAGCATAGAAACCTGGAACAAACAGTGGCTAGCTGTGCTAGATGTGAAGGACATGTTTTTCATGGTTCCCCTGCAACCCGCAGGTAAGAACAGATTTGCCTTCACATGGAAGGGTGTTCAATATACCTTCACGCGTATGCCACAGGGGTACAAACATTCCCCCACAATTTGCCATGGGGTGCTATCAAAGGTTTTGGACGGTTTAACTAGGCCACCAAGCGTCCAGATCCTACAATACATAGATGACATCTTGATAGGGGAGACACCTCCAAGGAAGTGCAGGAGGCTGTAAATCAAGTAAAGACACCCCTACAAGACCTTGGCTTAGATTTACCCCCTGACAAATGCCAAGGCCCCTCCCATAAAGTAAAATTTCTTGGCACTATATGGATGAGAAGGCGGAGATCGGTGCCTGATGGAACAGTACAGGAACTCAGCCAGGCACTGTCACCAGAGAGCAAAGCCCAATTGAGACAAACATTAGGAGTTTTGGGCTTTTGGAGAAAGCTCGTGCCCGGCTTTGCTGTGATTGCCTGGCCGCTGTACAACCTGTTAAAGAAAAGTGCCACTTGGGAATGGACCCCAGCACATGAGGAAGCTTTGCAGCAGCTAATAAGCGAGATACACACATATCAAGCTCTGGGTCCAATCCATCCCGATGCCCTGTTTCACCTATACGTCACCATAGGAGCTACAAGAATGTCCTATGCCCTATAGCAGGAAAGTGAAGTGGCACCCCGATGCCCCATACAATTTGGTTCTAAGTCATGGCAAGGGTCACAGGCAAATTACACTCCATATGAGAAGGTGCTTCTGGCAGCCTACACGGCTTTAATGGAGACCGAGGAGTTAACCCAGACCCAGAATGTAACCATTCCCACTCCTCTTCCAATTATTAAACCTATATTGGAAGGGAAAGAACTACCGCCTGGAGTAGCACAGAAAATGACCATTCACAAGTGGGCGCTTTATATACACCGCAGGGTATGGTGCAGACACCGCAGTAAACCCCACCATGATTAAAGAATCTCTGTGAAAGGTGAAATGCCCAATGAATATCACCTACCCCCACGACCATCTCCTATCCGAGACGCCGCTCCATTTGATGCGTCTTGCCCTGAGGGAGTTTAGTTTACAGATGCCAGTGCTAAACTGATAAAAGGAAAGTAGAAAGGAAGGGCTGCAGCAGTCCTAGCTGATAACTCCGCCGCACTTCTGACTACTGATATAGAGGGAACCGCCCAGCTCGCGGAATTAGCGGCAATTAAGCTGGCTTGCGAGGCAGGTGCTAGCACTATTTACACAGACTCCTATGCTGTATGGGCAGGAGCCACCCAGTGGATAACTAATTGGAGAAATAACCACTGGATGATGGGGGAAAACCAGTCTGGGGATTAGAATACTGGGAATGGATCTATCACCATGTAACCCAACTAACCCTAAGCATAGGTCACGTGTCAGCCCACCAACAGAACAACGCTCTGGCTGCCCAATTAAATAACTTAGCCGATGCGATAGCCCAGATCTCTGCCACCCAGGTGGATTGGGAACGCTTATACACATGGCTACACGAGACTCTGGGGCATACAGGGAGTGAGGAACTGGTGAGGCAGGCACATATCAGGGGGTGACCTATTACCCATCAGCAAGCTAGGGACTTAGTACAAGCCTGTGCTCTTTGTGCTGAGACCCGACAGCACATTAACGAGGGACAGCAGTTTGCCAGTATACGAGAGGGAAAAACCTTGGCTCATTACCCTCCACCAGACAGAGATGGAAGTATGTTTTGACTGGAGTGGAGGTTGTCTCGGGAATCGGCACAATTACAGCCAAGCCATTTTGCTAGTGCTGCAGCTAGGGAGAATGGTTTAATTGAGATTATTAAACAAAATAAGCATCTTAACTGTCTCATATTAGTTTCTCAAAATTCATTTTAAATAAAATAAAACATTTACGGCCATCAAAAAGGTTTCAATATTTTTTTATTTATGGCAGGGGTGGAGAACCTTTTTTTGAGTCAGTGGCAGATGTAGAGTTAATGGGGCCCCGTGCTCAGTTTCATTTTTGGGGTTCCCCTGGGGACCTAGCCAAGAAAAAGAATAGGCAATGAAATACATTTTGGCCATAATGCAGTGTCATCAGGGTATGTTTCTTCCCTTACTTTGACAAAATTGCCAATATTTTGTAGTTTCACTGCCAGTTCAGAGTCCACTCAGGAGGAAGGGGCAGAGCTGGGGGCCCAGTGCAGAAACAGAGCTGCCATGTGGGGCTGGAGAAGAAGACTGACAGAGAGGATAAGAAGATCTCCATGGCTGCCGAGAGCAGTTTCAGGTGCTTCAGCGGCCCTGTGCTGGTTGGCCCAGAGAAGTGGGCAGCGACCCACATGTGCTCCACCTGAAGGTGAGTGGGGGCACTTCCACTGGTCACCTGAGTGCCCCCCCCCCCTGCTGCTCTCCTGCTTTC